TGATCGTAACACTTATTCATTGATCGTATCAGTTTGCTATAAAAGATGAGGTGTTTCCCTGACCTGCCGCGGCACGCTCGCGTGACCAGTGCCTGACCCCGGCGCCCCGCGGCACGAGCCCGCAGGCGACGTAAGTGGGTCATCGATCGATAAGAGCCCTCTTCCAGTTAACCCCGCAGGACTAGAGTTAATACATTTTTTAAATAAAATCTACACAGAAATGTGTTTTTAAATGAACATTTAAGTGGAGCCAAAAAAAAAAGGTGGATAGAAATTGCCCCTATATGAAAAAAAATGCTGGTTTATATGATTTCATTATTTTGACGAGTGCGTGAATTCACATTGACACTTCACATTTTTGTTTGGGGTTTCATGCGAATTTACCACATTTTCCACACAGGAACCATGGCTGGGAAGTCTGAAACCGGAAGACATTCGTCTCAATGTGGCCGTCTACTTTGGCAGCATCAAGGTGAGGTCACGTCTTTCCCACTCCCTGCCGGTGATCACTTCCATGTCCCAAGACAGCTACGGCGGCACGGTGGTGGAGATGGACTTCCCGGGGGAGAGGTACATCTACGACATGCTGGACATCTCGCAGTTTGATGTGGAGCGAGAGCTCGGGGCCTACCCCTACGCCATCTTCAAGGTGGAGTCTGCCCAGCCTCACAGCTCGAGGAAACCAGGTGTGTGTGTGTGTGCGTGCGTGCGCGTATGTGTGTGTGTGTGTGTGTGGCCATTTGCTACCTTAGAATTATAAAGTTCTATCTGACTTTTTAAGTCATTGTAAGTTACAAAGATGAGGTCTGAAACCGAATGTTCTATCTACTCTATCAAAATTGTAAGATCATTTGGAGTCATCAAAGTATTTAAAGAATTGCATTTAAAAAAGCTTGACCTGTTGTGAAAAGACAAATTTTTCAAAACTAGGTACTGATCAAATGGAACTTTGTAATTCTAGGGTAGCGCTTTGTCAGGTGTTGGAGTCTTGTGGCCTTGGTGGAGAACCTTGTTATTACCCCACACATGTCTGTTGTCGGGGGACAGGGGGGGGGGGGATATTACACCTTAGTTGCCTGTTGTATTTTGCATTAGGCAGGGAGATAAAGATAAATCATGCTTACATGATTGTTTACATTATCATGTCACTTCTCTTTATTGTTGTTTTTTGTTTTGTTTTATTGACATTCATTGGAATTGATGTTCTCTTGAGATATTCTTAAGTCTTGTTTTACTCTCTTATCAGGAGGCCCGATCCACCTGGGCTGGAGTCGCATCCCGCTGTACCGTCACTCGAACCAGTCGTTCTCGGTGATAGAAGGGGATGTCACTGTGTCGCTCCACCCGGGTGACATCCCCGACAGTTTCATCACGACTCAGCCCAAGACTCCGTCAGAGGAGGAGCACATGGAAGGTGAGTGAGGCTGGCGGTTGAGGGGAATCTTTGGGGTGTTTGGGTCAGGGCGCTGGTGGTTGTTTTGAGATTGTTTTGCAGCTGAGGAAATGCTGAGCTGGTTATTTTGAATTATTGAACTAAGAATTCTGAGTTTTACACCTTTATAAATTCAATTTAGATAATTTTTAAGGCAGATTTCAACTTGTTCTTGCTGTTTAATCCTGCAATTTAAGTACAAGAGTAGCTTCAGGCACAGATATTTATGCTGAATACACTTTCAATAAGGCATGAAAATCAAAGTTTAGTCCTGCGTCGGTCACAAAGCCGAGAGGAAAAAATATTTCTGGAAAAGCAAAAAAATGTCATAATCCACTCAGGTTTGAGCCTCAAATGTCTGAATATTTGGCTAATTACATAACCAACTGCTGTATGGACCTTAGAATTACAAAGTTCTATCTGACATTTTTGGCCATTTTGAGTTACTAAGACCATGAGGTTAGAAACCGAATGTTCTATCTACTGTATCAAAATCGTAAGATTATTCGGAGTCGTTATAAAAATATTCAAAGAATTGCTTTCGAAAAAGCTTGGCAAGTTGTGTAAAAATCAAAATTTTATATGTCAAATTTCTCAAAACTAGGCCCTTACCCGATAGAACTTTTTAATTGTAGGGTAGCGAGCCACTGTCCTGCCCTGGTGGACAATGTAATCAGTTGACATTTTTCCTCCCATTTCCCAGGGAGCCTGATTGGCTACAACTGCACCCTGTCCGCCCACGTGTTTGACCCCAACAACGAGCCACAGGCCCGTGCTGTGCGACCAGCCAAACCCACCTCCACCGTCCCCCCTCTTGTCCCGCCACTGGACACCAGAGCCAACCCGTAAGTCGTTGCTATTGTTTTTGCTGTTGTTATTGTGGGGAGATGAATATGCATGACTGCCGACCAGTATGTCCATACGTCGTTGTTGTTGTTGTTGTTGGAAGATGAATATGCATGACTGCCTACCAGTATGCCCATTAGTTTTTGTGGTTGTTTTTGATGTTGTTGTTGTGTGTGTGTGTGTGTAGTAGCCTATCCGTTTGAAATGTTTGGAGCCCCGAAGAGCTTGCTCTTCGCCAGGGCCACTGCCTCCCTTGTGGGTTTGGCATCCTTTTGTTTGATCTGTTTTTCTCTGAGATATTTTAAGTTCTAATGTTCTTTTCCCTCCTCTCTTTGACCGTTTAGTTTTTTGGGATCCTATTTAAATTGTTTTCTCTTAGTCTCCTCATAACATTCGGAGTTATAAAGACATGGTTCATTGGTCGAAATAACAACAGAGTGTCTGGGGAGTATGTTGTTCTATTTTCCTTTTCAGTGAATAGGTCTACACTGTCTGTTAAAAACCAAAGGGTGGGTGACCATTTCGGAAAAGTGTTCATCCTCTTGTAACTAATGTCACACTTCCGGCAGAGATATGTGCTGTTGCCTTCTAGTGAATATCGTAACTAAACAGCAATCTTTAGAATTAAGACAATGATACCCGTCCAAACTGATGATTGGTGACCATGAAGATTAGGTTGTTGTTGTTGTGGGAAGATGAATATGCATGACTGCCAACCAGTGTATAATAATAATAGATAGCATTTGTATAGCGCAAATTCCCGCTCAACAGCAAGCTCTATTATTACCTCAGCCAAGCTGATAGCATACTGAAACAATTTGTTATTGTTCTGGCAAGATTAATCTTCAGTGGCAGTGTCCATTGATATCAGGGGCCCAAGTTGTTTTTCTTGGATGATGGATCCTGTAAGACAAAACCTTACTGTCCTTTAGCATCAGTCTCTAAGTTGTAATTGTTGTGGGAAGATATGTCTTCGTCTCATAATCTAATTGTAATTTATTATATTTTAATAATATATGTGAGATAAAATAAATTACTTCTCACAATCCACAAATGTAAATATTGGCCAAAATTTTACACGGGGGTCAAATTTGTAGATTTTCTATTAATGCCGTATTCTTTTAACACTTTGCCATATAGTAAAAACCCTTGCTCATATACTTGCTCATATAGTTAAAAACCCTTGCCATCAAAGGCAAAGGCATTTGGGGGAAAATCTAAAGAAACTGGGGGGTAAACATGCCGATTGGCGAGATGTGACGGCACAGTGACAAGCGTAATATTCCTTTTATTTCATACTTATGAATTGTAAAAACTTCACCTATAAGTGTGATCTATTTCCATAGGGCTTGAATCCAAGAAGTAACTCATTTTGTCAGCAGGCTTCACATATCTTAGCACAACAAATATAATCTTTTCATATCTTATTTGATAGAGATAATTAATTCTTACCAAAATGAAAATGTTTGATGAGTCCTGCACGCTCATATGACTTTATGCAGTTGTGAGCACCATAAAACACTAACCTAAAAACAAAATCTTATCTGGCGTTTTCTGTTTTCTCCCAGAGCACCAGCCCCGAGACGTCAACCATCTGTCCCCCCACCGCCACCACCACCTCAACCAGAACCAACGCCGCCACAGACGGTACGCTCCCCAGAAGTAGACCCCAACCCATGGGTGCCATACAAGGCTCCTGCGGCAAAGTCTGACCCGAAACCAACAACAAACCGAGACCCTTTCATGCTGTACATCGACTCTGTCAGACACATACCAGACAACGCTACCATCGTCAAGGTGGGTACTCTAATTGGAGCTCGTAACATTACAGTTAGGCACAGTCATGCCACAATTGCTAAATTGTTAAGCTGTTTCATCTTTAATATCACGTCTGCAAACTTTCACCTCCTAGACATTTTATCGATACAAACTTTACCAAGCTGTAAGCCAAGTTATTGGGTTGAGCACTCCAAAATTAACTACACTACTGCTATGATTTCTGTCAAGTCCCAGTATTCCTTACACCAATCAAACTTAATTGTGTCTGTTTGCTTCTCTTCACTCAATCAAACTAACAAACATATATTCATCCAACTTTTCAGGTGACCGGTAGAATCTTGCGAGCGGGCGATTTGACCAACCTACAAGATATCCTGGCCGTTCCGGAGCTGGAGAGCTCAGCCCGGTCTCCCGTGTTCAACTTCAGCATGCTTGTCAACGAAGGTCGCCAGGTGGCCGACCCCGAGCTGCTGTTGTTCCTGCGAGTCTACACGTACGACGTGGAGCTCAAGAAGGTCATGGTCATCGGCAGCTGTTTGGTCAGCGTTTTTTCGCCAGGCAAGAAGAAAAAGGTAAAAATCTGTTGTGACTTACTGTCGCGTGTGTGTGTGCGTGCGTGCGTCTCTTTATGTCAAACAACATAGTGTGTGTGGTTGGGCAGGAATGTATTTCTCTTTAAATCAAACAATGTTTGCTTCTGTGTTTGTTTGTAGGAACATACTTCTTTGTACTTCAAATAATGTGAAATTTTATGTGTGTGTGTGTGTGCAGTAAGATACTTATTTTTCCAACGTTTGTGTGTTTATGTTTGCTTTTATGGGGGTTTTTTCTTGCAAGAATATACTTCTCTTTATATTAAGCAATGTGTGTGTGACCATGAAGATGTGTGTATGAGTGTGTGCAAGTGTGCATGTGCAAGAAAATATCTCTTTTTATGTGAAACAATTTGTTTGTTGTGATAATGTGTGTGCCTATGTTAATATGTCTGTTTGTGTGGAAAAGAATATACTTCTTTTTACAGCAAACAATGTGTATGTATATTTGTCTGTGTGCAGGAATATACTGACTTCTCTTTACATGTACTATCTGTGTGTCTATTTTTGTGTGTGTGTCTGTGCGCAGGACGGGCTGCTCCGTGTGGGCGGTCACCAGCTGAGGGTCTACTCGGGGATGCCCAACATGCGAGAGGGTCTGAACCAGATCACGGGCACGGACCTGGACAACAACACAGCGGTGCCTGCCTGCTCCATGCTGGTCCGCTTACTGCCGCAGAGCCAGGTAGTTTGTTTGTTCTTTTCTTTCCAGTGTGTGACCTTGCAGTATAAGTGTCCAACGCAAAAAAAAAAGCATTTGGAAAGAACATGCAGATGCTGTAGGCAACTTCAAAGTTTTAGTTTTAGTAGACTCTATGCAGTTGCGAGCACAGTAAAACTCTGACCAAACTTAACTTTTAGTCTTTGTGAATGATTTCTTCAGAGAGGAAAGAAGTCTACTCTAGCTTCTAATCATCCATAGAAAGCTCTAAGGGCTGAACAATGTAGATTTATCATCTAATCCAACAATGTAGATTTATCATCTAATCCAACTGACAAATCAAAAGACGAGAGATCTTTTCTTTCCAGTGTGTGACCTTGCAGTATAAGTGTCCAACCGAAAGAAAAAAAAAGCATTTGGAAAGAACATGCAGATGCTGTAGGCAACTTCAAAGTTTTAGTTTTAGCAGACTATGCAGTTGTGAGCACAGTAAAACTCTGACCAAACTTAACTTTTAGTCTTTGTGATGGATTTCGTCAGAGAGGAAAGAAGTCTACTCTAGCTTCTAATCATCCCTAGAAAGCTCTAAGGGCTTAACAATGTAGATTTATCATCTAATCCAACTGACAAATCAAAAGACATAATTTGTTCATTGTGAGACAATTTAACAACACACACGCACACACACACACTTAACTCCCAGACCCACACACATTATTTCATACAAAAACTTTTTCGAAGCCAGTTTGCATCTTTACTGTCAACTTTGCTTATCACTGTTTTGTTTTCGTTTTGTTTTTATCCTTTACTATTTTTCTCTCTTGTTTTTCTGAAATATACAGGAAAAACAGTGAAAATGTTTAGTTATCTTTCTCAGTTGTCTCTGATTTTTGTTTTTTATCCCCTGTGCCAGCTCCCAGCTATACGTCTGGCTACTACCGCTCAGACAGCTGCAAGCCTACGGCATCCGAGGTTCGAATCTTTGCCAGTTATGGAGACAACCTGGCCAAGACTGAGCGAGACATGATAATGAGGCTACTACAGGCCGAGCGGGCACCAAACATAAGTACGTGGAGACAATGGGAACTGGGGATGCTTTTTTCTTTTTTTCCCCCGTAAAATTTGCGAACTTCTAGAAATATGGAATGTTGTAGTATTTCTCAGATGTAGAAGGGTTTTTTATTCCGCCTTTAAGTTGGCACTTTTTCCTCCCTGTCCAGTATGTTTCGGAAGTAATTATACAAATCTCAGTGACACAGAGAAGAAGTGTTGTTTTTTTTCCCCCATAGACTGATTCAAGTTTTAACTTCCCGACCATGATCAGAAGAGTTTTGTTTGTGTTTAGTTACAAATGTCTGTGTGGGTAGGAGGAGAGCAGCTGAAAGTTACAGGATGTGTATTTAATGTCAAAGAAACTTTTAGTTAATGTGGTAGTCTTTTTTTTTCTTCTTCTCTTTTTGCATGTAACACTTACATCTCACAATTTAAAAACATTTTTTTGTTGCCATTTTTTATATTCAGAACATTTTCCCCTTGTAATAATACTTGTAAAGTCTTCCTAGTTTTAATGGTGACCGTTTCAAGGTGTAAATTTGTCGTCAACATTATCTTTGCCAGACTCACAGCTTGACCATTTTTTAAAGACATTTATATATTAGATCTACATATACATAATGTTATGCTCTGTGTATGCACCTGTCAAGTAGTTTTAGACTGTGATATCTCTTAGGCTGTAGCTCATCGAGCAATTTTTTAAAAAAATGGAAATGCACAGCACAAATCTTATTTATTGTTATTATTATTAAGACCTGTCCAAAGCAAAAGTCAGAGACTCGGAGGGAGAGCTTTTTCACACAACGCCCCCAGGCCCCTCCCTGTGGAACGCTTTACCAGCTCATCTACGAGAGTCTACCGCTTTATCAAAATTTAATTCAGCACCTAAAACGCACTTGTTTCAGTCCAGGTTCAATATATAAGTTCCGACATTCCCAATACAAATATTATTATGTTCTCTCAGTATCGTTTAGTGATGCTGTTCAGTTCTGTAAGAATTTATGACTATGAATTCATCAGTTTGTGCGAGCGTGTCTGGGTAAGCTTTGTGGGATTGTCTTTACTCAAGGATGTACTGGAGGGAGAGAGAGAGAGAAGAGACAGACAGAGAGAGAGAGAGAGGATTACTATAGGAGCTGTGCACTGCATATGTTCTTTGTATTATTGTACAGCGCATTTAGCACTTCTTTGTGGAAATGCGCTATATAAATGCAATTTATTATTATTATTATCAATGTCATTACTATTATTATTATTATTATCATCATTATTATTATTCTGACTCCCCTGTAGACGAGTCCCAGTACCAGGACTGGCTGGTCAGCAAGCTGGACATCAAACGACAACAAGGGGCCAGCCAACCAGCGGGCAACCTGGCATTGCCTCGCTGCGTGCGGTACCGAGTGCGTGTTGGACTCATGGCCCAAATCCAGTCTGCTTCAGGCCTGCCAGGTGAGAGGAAGAGAGTCAGACTCGCACGATGTTGTCTCTTTTGACTATTATGATCAGTTTTAAAAATCAGTTTTAGTTTTAGTAAGTGTTTTACGGCTCTTGCAACACAATAAGGTCATGTAAGTGCCGAAGATTAGAAGTGTTACAAGAGAGTAACAAACACACAAAAAGAAGGAGGGGATATAAAGAAGATAGATGTTTGGTAGGAAAGAAGGAGCAAACCATACCAGAGCACCCGCCAACCTCCCACTAGTAAGAATTTTACAGACCTTGCATTTCTAGAATGTCATATAAGGGCTGAAGATTAGGGTAGTCAAACTGGCTCGGTGTTGCCTCCTGTTGACCATTGTATTCAGTTTTCAAAATCAAATGTAGTTTTAGATTTAGTGAGAGTTTTACAGCTTTTGCAACACTAATGGGTTGTGTAAAGGCTGAAGATTTGAGGTATTACGAGAGAGTAACAATCACAGAAAAGAAGAATGACAGAAAAGAATGATAGAATCTAGATGTTTGATGGAAATAAAGGAGTTTGCTGTTTTAACACCAGCTGAGTGAGAGGGTACCAGCATTTGTGGTGTAGCTGTGAGGGGCTTCACTGTCACATGCAGAAGATTTGAGTTTGATTCCCATATGGGAAGAATTTTTATAGAGTATCTCAATCTTACCACTGGAATGTTGTATCCCTCTCAGCCTGGGTTGGCCTTAACCCTATCTGTACGCCCTGGGGTCATTTCGTACCCCCCGGGGTTGTATTCTTCACATTTTAGAATACTTGGTACGAAGATCTCTTTGAAACTTTCAGTTTTTCTCAAAAATTATTTTGACAGACTGCTATGCAAAGCGTATGGATGGGATTAACGAGTAAATTTCGTCTTTGGAAAGTGGTGGCACAGAGCTCCCCACGTCGTATGGATACGATAGTAAAACACGACATATGGACAGGGTTAACAGGAAAGTTAGAAGCCAGCCTACTAAATGACCTAGATTGGGTCAATGGGGGCGTAAAATACCGACATTTCAGAAAAAAAAAGCCTGAAGGTGATAACATTGCCCTCTGGTCTTCAGCCTAACTGGTGTGGTTGATTTCCATGCCCTCACAAGATCCATTGCGGGGTGCATTTTTTGTTCATTCCTGTGTAACAAATGCCATAAAACTATGACCAACTAAACAAAGCCCTGACTCGCCAACATGTGTTTCCCTGCGTCCGTGTCCACAGACGGGCTGTACATCCAGTGTTTTGCTCGTGTCTCCCCGGGCAAGCAAGCCAAGTACATCTCCCCGACAGAGCAAGGCTATGGCAGAGAGGAGAAGTTTATCACCACCAAACTGGCGCCCACCAGTTTTCTCTCGGCACCTGTCTGGGAGGACAATCCTAAGGTACCTATTGTCACATAAAGGCAGTCACTTTTGGCCTTTGTTAACCCCCTTTCCTGCCTCATCATCATCATCTGGTGCCTTGCCGACTGGCGTGGGCGATCATGGACCTACACTTCACTATGTCTTGTGTTGCAGCAATGGTATCTGTTGTTCTTGCTGCTCCTAGCCATGTTGTCATCTTGTCCAGTATCTTTTCCCTCTGTCTGCCTCTGCCTTTCTTTCCATCAAACTTGCCTGTTGTTACAATATTCTCCAATGCTTCTTTCCTGCCTAGTGCACCCAAATGGGACTTCTGAAACAAGCCACCCTCTGCAGGTGGTTGGCGGGTGCCCTGGTGTGGTTTGTTCCTTCTTTCCTATCAAACTTGCTACACAATTAGGTCATAAAAGTGCCGAAGATTAGAGGTGCTACATGAGAGTAACATAAGAAAGAAGGAGAGGTAAAGACGAAAGATAATTGATAGGAAAGACGAGGCAAATCACCCCAGAGCCCCCACGAACCACCCACTCCGTAACTCTAAAACTCAATATTGTATGTGTATTTTCCAGGAGTTGCATCCTTTCTACGACCTTCACAGCTGCCTTCTCATCCAGCTGATTGGTCTGCGTGTCCTGTACCGGCCCCGGGCGGACCACAAGCAGGTCGGCACACTGCACAAACCAGACGGCTCACCTCTGGAGATCACCAGCCAGGAGCTGATTGGCTGGGCTGTGGTGCCTCTCTTTGATGGGTCAGTTGTTGGGGGTCTTTTCCTGTTTGTTTTTTATTGGAGCGGGTGGTGTTCTTTTCTGTTTGCTTGTTGTTTTTTTGGTGAAGGGGAGTATGCTTGTGCCTGATGTTTTGTTTTGGTTTGGTTTTTTTATGTGGACCGTGGGTTGGCATGTACTTCTGTTGGGTTGTTTTATACTACTTTGTTTTGATGTAGTTACCGTTGCAATCTTGTTTCAAGTGGTTGGCAGATGCCTCAGATGGGTCCTACTTTTTTTCTTTCTCTGCTTGTCTTTTTATTTCTACAAAATCTTCATTGGCAAAAAAGGCCCTCTCTTCTCCTTTGCTGAGAACTGAATAGTCAGTCTGATATCTCTGTGGGTCTTTTGTATTGGGTAGGCGGCCAAGAAGGGCTCTCCGCGTTTTCAATGTTCTGAACGATCTTTTTCGGCACTGAATGACCATTATTGTGTCTATGTGCTTCTGCTTTACCTGGGGCGGTGCTACTGACTGAAGTGTCTTTGGGCCATTCCCAAAGGGGGGGTACATTAACAGTGTTCTTATGCACAGTAGAATTGTAAATGGGTTGATTCATCAATGTCATGCTCACAACTGTGCCTGAACTGCAACAGGGAACTCCTGCTTTTTCTTTCCTAATCTTTACTACCGTCATTTTTCCTCTATTGTTGTTTTTTTTTGTATGTTTGTCACACTCTTGTGACCCACTATATCCGGGATGCTTTGATAGTCGAAGCAGACTTTGCGCTGTTGAAGCTAGAGAGGTGAGCAGAGTAAGCCTGATTCCCTGTATGGACTTCTCTGTTGACATCCACCCCTTGGTGCTCACATGACCTTATGCAGTTGCGAGCGCCGTAAAAACTCTACTAAAAAAAAAACTTACTTCAACAAAGTGACCAGTGGATTTTCATTGTCTTCCTCAGTCAGCCATTGATCAAGGAAAGTAAAGGAAAGTAATTTGTTTACTATCTGTCAATCTGAAAGATGTGATAAAACATTTGTCGGCGTGCCATTGTTCCAGGAACTCTGTGGTGTCGGGCATGCACCAGGTGCCGGTTCTGTCGATTCCTCTGAAAGAAGAGATCACGGAAGAGTTGTCCCAGACTGCTGCTCACAAGGTGCTGGACAAACGGGTGTGGACGGACGCCACTAGACTGGTGAGTAGCGTGTAGAGAGTCGTCAGCGAACTGTTCAACTGTCCTTAGTCCAGAAAGCAAAAATTGTTCTTATATTATGTACATTTTTTTGGCTTTTATCAACATTAAAATTTGAATTTCATCAAAATACCTTTAGCACCCGCAGCCAATAACACAGATTTAGAAACTGAAAAAAAATTGTTTTGATGTTTTGAAATTTTATGCTTGTCTTGTCTAATATTACCCCTGGCATATCTTGTCTTATCATATGTGAGGCACCATGGTGAAATCAGGCGCTTGTCAAAATAATAACAACGAAGAAACAGGCATTTTTCAGAAACTTTGGCAGTTTTTTTGGAATTTTGTTTTTTGGCTCAACACCTTTTGTGTCCTTTTAAAAACACATTTTTGTATGAATGTTACTGAAAAATGTAAATGTAAATTTCCAGTTTCCACGGACACTCAGGCTTGGAGATCAACAAACTTTGGCAGCCATTTTCTGTCTCATATTACCTGTCTCACCGCGCGACCACCACCTCCTTGAATTGCAAATATCTCGACTTCTGTTCAAGATAGATGGGTATTTTTTGGGCCAGTTGTAAGACCAATAAACAAGCTTTATGATGATATTAATAACTCTTTTATGTGCCCAAAAATTGACGAGCGCCTGATTCCACGCGTCATGACACATATCTTATCCCATCCTATCTTTATCTCATCTTATTTTAACTGATCTTATGTGTACTCTGCTGAATTTCCTTCCTCAGCCGGGAGCCAGCCTCACAGTAATGGTCTGGGATGCGCACTTTGACCCTGAGGACTTGCCAGAAAAACAGGTAAATTTTTTCACTTCTTCTGAGAAACAGTTATTTTCAGCTGAGAAGAAAGGTTTTGTGTCACGTAGATGGAAAGAGGAGGTATAGGGATAAATGTGGATTTTCTGGAAAAGTCTGAAACCCATTTCAGGCAAGTTGTCATTTCTATCCATGATGAAAAAGGTAAGGTTACAAGAGTTTAATTTATTCCTCTGATTGTGATAATTTAGTATTACATACACGCACAGAGGGTCTTTCTGCATCACAATGGTCTCATCATTGCCCATTGTTTCATGTTCCTGTGATGGAAATACATGTAGGAGAGCGGTACAAAAGTTTAGCCCCTCAAAGGTGGCAGAAGTGGTCGGCGTGCTGGCTATGAAAAAAGTTGATAAACACTGGTCTATACCAATCTGCCTCTCCTTCCTCAGACCCACTCCTCTCTGCTGGCCGTGACAGGCACTCAGGCAAGCGAGGCTCCCGCGGCTGGCACCACCCAGCAGGAGATGTTGCTCAACATGCTGGAGCAGAAGGCGAGGAAGCAGGGTCTGAAGGGGACCATCTTCAAGAAGGAGCAGCAGTTCTTCACCGACGCAGCCACGCTCAACTTCAAGAACCTTATGGTGAGATCGGTTGTCCTTCCTTTAGCGGGGGGGGGGGGGTGCTCTTGTGTGGTTTGCTTCTTCTTCCCTATCAAACATCTATCGTCTTAATTTCTCCTCATCCTATCGAACTAAAAATGTTTTATGTGTCCCACGCGCTCATATGGCCTCATGCAGGTGCGAGACCAGTAAAACACTTACCAAAAATGAAAAAAAAATTAAGATAATCTCTCCTCCTTCTGTTTTGTGTATGTTACTGTCTTGTAACACCTCTAATCTTTAGCGCTTGTTTGATCTAATTGTGTTGTAAGTGCCATAAAACTCTTACTTAAAAACCAAAATGTCTTCCTTTGTCCTCTCCGCTGTTTTGTAAATGTGCAACTTCAGTTGAACCTTCTCTAGAAACCTCCTGTTGAAGACAAGGCACCTGTACAAACGACCACTTCCCACTTTTCCCCTCTTTGCATTTTAAAAAATAAAATAGAGACATTGTCCCAAAGGACCACTTGTCTAAAATGACCCCTTTTGTCCTCGACAATGGATGGTTGTCTTGGACAGGTTAGACTGAAGTTGTTTCAGCCGCTAGGTTTTTTGGGAGGAAAGTCTTTTATATCTGTTCCTTGTATAATAATGAGTGGCATGGATGGTTGGAAGGGAAGTTGGAGCTGGAGTTTTCTTTCCATTACTTCATCATAGCTGCCAAGTAGTACGTAAAAAAACATATTTAGTAAGATTTTTGGGTTTGAGTACGGAAATCTGTTTTGGCATCGGAAAATACGTTTTCAACTTTTTCCCCTCTTAGTTTTAAATACAAACTGGCTTCAAGCAAGAAAAATTAGAAAATTTATGACCGGATAGAGGCGAAGTACGGGAGTCAACAAAACGACGAGAGTAGTGTCCCTGCAATTACAACTGAAGTCGACCTCCTTCAGCGAGTTGT